GGCTGAGGTCTGGGAAGCGCCTCTTTCTTCCTTCTTGGTGCGGCTTCCAGACCACTGTGACCCCTTCTCCATGAAAGCACCCTGCTCCTTTGAAGAGCGCGTCCTCAGGCCAGGTCTGCAGAGTGCCTCAGATACACTGTCCTCCCCATGGCAGTCCTCTGCGGCCCGTCATCCATTCTCTCTCACTCCTTGAGGATTTAAACTCCTGAATCACTGTCTGTCTCTTCATGATTTCTCCTGTCATAATTCATGGGGACCCCCACGTCTAAGGAAACATCTCCACCAATATCCTGTCTTCTCATTTCCTTAACTGTCTTACTTCCAAAGAAACTTGTCTTCCAACCCACCTCAGCTATCCACTCCCAGGATCACACACCCCTGAGTGATAGTATAAGTAACTATATTTCTTTCATAATTTCAAGCATCTCGCTTTCTAAACAGCATTTCCTACATTTCCAAATCACCTTCCCTCACACCTCATTCCAGTAACTCTTCTGCCTTACTGAGGTCACAGATCCATCATTTTCTGTCATCATTTCATCATCCATGGCTCCCTTCATATCTTCACATCTCTCCTTCTACAGCTTAGATTCTATGGCCCATTATATTACACATTCCTTTGCATATACCCTCATCTATTTTTCCTCATCACACTCACCTAGGGGGAAAAAAAAAACCCAACCCTGCTTAAATTCAACTCTGGCTCCTCTACACTAATGCCCAAATAAGTGAAACATATGGAGAAAAAACCAGGTAACCATGCACACTAGTCTCACTTAAATCCATGATCACATAGCTCAAATGAGTCCTTCAAGCTGCCCATCCATCCTAGAATGTGACTCATCTCACAGAATTGATTGTCTCAAATATTCTGTCTTTTCAGACCTCCAATTTCTCCTGCCTTCTGCTCACTTGGCACCAATGGCTTTGCTGAAGAGAACGTTGGGCTCTCCCACCAACTCAGCTGCTTTGGGTTCTCACCAATGCTGCTTGCTGTCCTTCCTTTTCAGCAGGTGAGCTGTCTATTCTCCTCTCTGAGGCCCCTCCTCTTGTGCACAGAATCTCCTACAACTGTCCTCTCTTGACTGGATCATTCCCATCAACATACAAATATGCCACAATTTTTGCCATCCTAAAAAAAGAACAAAAACTTATTCTTAATTTCAAACCCCTTCCCAGTACCTCCTCATATTTTTTTAGAACAAAACTTTTCTAAAGAATTGTCTATATCCTTCTTTTTCATGAATCTACTCTAATTAAACTTTCATTCCCACCACTCCATGAAAACTGCCCTTGTCAAGGTCAACTGTGACCTTTACATTGACAAAATGAATGTTCAATATTTTCATCTCATTTGTTGTATCAGCAGTGCTTGGCACAGTTGCAGAATCCATCTTTCCTGAAAACCTTCTGCATTTGACTCCTGAGACACCATTCTTCTTTATTTTTACTCATATCTTTCAGTCTCCATGGAGCGCTCCCCAACTTCTTCCTGAATTCTGATACAGTGGTTCTCCACCTCACCTGCACACTAGAGTCACATGGGAAAATGTCTACAAAATTTTGATGCCGAACTAAGAACGTCCAGCCAAGATGTAGGCGTAGGTAGATGCACTTTGCTTCCTCATGCAACCAAAAAGAAGGACAATGCAACAAATTTAAAAACAAAAAATAACCAGAACTGCCAGAAAATTGAACTGTATGGAAGTCTGACAACCAAGGAGTTAAAAAAGAAACATTCATCCAGACTGGTAAGAGGGGTGGAGATGGGCAGCAGGGGCAGAGAGGATGTGAGGTAAGGCAGCAGCTAGCAGGCCAGGTGGTCCCACATTTGCATGTGGATAAACTGGGAGGAACAGCTGGGGAGCAAGACAAACCACACAATCCAGGTTTCCAGCATTGGAAAAGAAAGTCTCAAAACCTTTGACTGTAAAAACCTGTGTGGGATGCAGCAGCAGGAGAAACTCCCAGCCTCATAGGAAAGTCTGTTGGAGAGACCCACAGGGTCCTAGAATGTACACAAACCCACCCACCTGAGAATGAGCACTAGAAGGGCTCAATTTGCTTGTGGGTAGTGGGGGAAGTACCTGAAAGCCCACCAAGAGCCAAGCAAGCAGCATTGTTCCTTCTCACGCCCCTCCTCCATGTGCAGCATCACAGAACAGCGACCTGGGTTGCCCCACCCTGGCAAATACCTAGGGCTCTACCTCTTCCAATGTAACAGGTGCACTGAGACAAAGAAATATGGCCCAAATAGAAGAAAAGATCAAAGCTCCAAAAATAGAACTAAGCCACAAACAGTCAACCTATCAGATGCATAGTTCAAAACACTGGTAATCAGGATGCTCACAGAAATGGTTGAGTATGGTCGCAAAACAGAGGAAAAAGTGAAGGCTATGTAAAGTGAAATAAAGAAAAATATACAGGGAACCAACAGTGAAGGGAAGGAAACCAGGACTTAAATCAACAATTTGGAGCACAAGGAAGAAATAAACATTGAAAACAGAATGAAGAACCAAGAATTCAAAAAAATGAGGAGAGGCTTAGGAACCTCTGGGACAACTTTAAACACTCCAACATCCAAATCATAAGGGTGTCAGAAGAAGAAAAGGAAGAGCAAGAAATTAATAACTTATTTGAAAAAACAATGAGGGAGAACTTCCCCAATCTGGCCAAGGAAATAGACTTCCAGGAGATCCAGGAAGCTCAGAGAGTCCCAAAGAAATTGGGCCCAAGGAAGCACACACCAAGACACACCATAATTATGTTACCCAAGATTAAAGATAAGGAGCAAACCTTCAAAGCAGCAAGAGAAAAGGAGACAGTTCCCTACAAAGGAGTTCCCATAAGACTATCAGCTGATTTCTCAAAAGAAACCTTACAAGCAAGAAGGGGCTAGAAAGAAGTATTCAAAGTCATGAAAAGCAAGGACCTATTTCCAACATTACTCTATCCAACAAAGCTATCATTTAGAATGGAAGGGCAGATAAAGTGCTTCCCAGATAAGGTCAACTTAAAGGAGTTCATCATCACCAAGCCGTTATTATATGAAATGTTGAAGAGACTTATCTAAGAAAAAGAAGATCAAAAATTGAACAATAAAAAGACAACAAACACATCTATCAATAACTGAACCTAAAAAAAAAACAAAAACAAAAAAAAACTAAGTAAACAACTAAAACAGGAACAGAATCACAGAGATGGAAATCAGACGGGACAGGGAGGGGACAAAGAGGGGAAAAGGTACAGGGAATAAGAAGCATAATTGGTAGGCACAAAATAGACAGGGGGAGGTTAAGAATAGTATAGGAAATGAAGAAGCCAAAGAACTTATATGTATGACCATGGACATAAATTAAGGGGGCTGAGGGATGTTGGAGGAAGGAGGGTGAAGGCGGAGGGAATAAAGGGGAAAAGAAAAAGAAAAAAATTTTGATTTCTACCAGAGATCTGAGCCAGCAGCCCTGAGGAGGAGGCCCAGATGCCACCATGTGATTTTAAATCTTGAAGGTGATTCTACCATGGAGTCAGGGAGAGGACCACTGCTCTACACATGGGCATGGGCTCATCTAAGGGTCTCAGACTCCTCTTATCTTGCCGTCTGAACTCTCCTCCTAGATGACTGATCCAATGCTGCTGATTCCCAGATAACATCTTCACCGAACCTTTCTCTGAACTCCATGCTTGTATATATACCACACCACTTGTTAGACTTTACATTTAAAAAAGCACTTTACATTAGAAAAATAATTCCCAAAAGTCCTTTTTTTAATTTTTTGTTTAATTATAGTTGACATTTCATATTATTTTAGTTTCAGATATACAGCATAGTGGTTTGCCATTTATCTAACTTATAAAATTATTCCCCCTGATAAGTCTAATACCCATCTGACACCATACATAGTTATCACAATATTATTGACTATATTCCCTATGCAAAAAGTCCTTTTCAATAAGAATTCCCATTATTTTTAAAGCTCTTTAAATACATGGAATTTATTCTCAATTTTTTGTCAACTTTGCCTGTTTTCAGCATATACTACATAAATGATGGTGACTAATAAACTATTCATTGTTCATGGAAGCAACATGTGAATTCCCTCAGATTAAAATATAATGCATTACAGCACTATTTACAATAACCAAGATATGGAAACAGCCCAAATGTTCATTGGTAGATAAGTGGATAAATCAACTATGGGACATTAACACAATGGAATACTACTCAGCCATAAAAAAGGAAGAAAATGTTACCCTTTGCAATGGCATGGATGGACCGAGAGAACGTTATGGTAAGTGAAATAAGCCAATCAGAGAAAGAGAAATGCCATATGATTCCACTCATATGGAATCTAGTGAGCAAACAGAGCTAACAAGCAAACTAGAGACAGACTCACAGAGAACGAGATGACAGCTATGGCGTGGGGGAAGGTGGTGGGTGGAGGGACTGAGCAAAAAGTAAAAAGGATTCATGGACAGCGACAACAGAGGGGTAACTGCTGGAGGGACAGGGTATAAAGGGACTAAATGGTAATGGTGGAAAAATACAATTAAAAAATGTAATGCAAGTGAAATGAACTAGGTAATTCTACAGATAGAACATAAAATCATACCTAGAATTATAGGATACAATAAATTCTAGATTACAATGAAGAATTATACCCATTCACCAAGAAATGCCTAGAACCAGGCTAAGAATATTTTAAATGCTTTATGTCGCATTCAAGAGCAACCTAAAACCAAAAATGACTTCTTCTATTATCAAAACATAGTGAGCACTGATCCAGGGTCAGAAAAACTAGTCCTGGTCCCAGCAGTTGCCAGCTTTTGGCAAGTTAAAAGCTTGCATTTCTTGGGGACCTCCTTGCCCTGCAACAGCTGAGATATGGGAGGCGCGGGGGCACTCTAGGAGCTCAGGCCGCTCTTACAGACCCTCCTGGAGGAGAACGGAAGGGTGTAGAGATGCTGCCAGGATTCTCCCCAGGTTACAGCGGAAACTAATGACCCTCATGGTGTCTGGTGACAAAGGAATTTCTGTCTCCCCTGAATCAGACAACCTTTTCAAATGTGTAGGGACCATCCACACAGAAGCTGGCACAGTATACAAAGACCTGAAGTTCCCCAGTGGCCACCCTTACAATGCACCCACAGTGAAGTTCCTCACGCCCAGCTACCATCCCAGCGTGAACACCCAGGGTGACATCTGCCTGGACATCCTGAAGGCCGAGTGGTCTGCCCTGTATGACGTCGGGGCCTTCCTGCTCTCCATCCAGAGCCTGCTAGAAGAACCCAACATCAATAGCCCATTGAACACACAAGCTGCTGAGCTCTGAAAAAAACCCACAGCCTTTCAGAAGTAACTGTAAGACACCCACGCAGAGCAGGTCTCCAGCCAAGAGCCTTGACCCAGGCTGTCCAGCCTCTCTCCTTGGGCTGCCTGTTATTTTTCCCTTAGACGGTCTGTCCTTGTCTTGATTTCTGTATAGGACTCTGTATCTTCAGCTATGGTGTCATATTTGTTTTGTTTCTGTTTTTTAAATTAAGTCTCTGCTTGAACCACTGTGATGAATATAATAAATACATTTTATTATATAATTTTAAAAGCTTGCATTCCTTAAATCTTCTGTAAAAAGGTACTGTGTCTGCACTGCCAATCTTATAGGGTTTTGTGTGGGTAAAAATAAAAACTAAGTATTTTGGGTAATAGTTTTCTGAAAATCATTAAAAATCATAAATTTATTATTACTGTACAACTTAGATATGGCTATATTTCATAATCAATTATGAAAATAGTGTTATATTAACAATTTATCAGAAAACATATAAAAGGAAACCTTAAAATTTAAATTGTCTAATATTTTTGAGTTCCAACTTTCCCCATAATAATCACAAGAATGATTTTGTAATAAGCCCATGTCCAAAATCATAAGACTACCAAGAAATTCCTTAAAGTTGGTCATTTCAAACTCATTTTAAAGTTTTGAAAAGTTTTAAAGTTCATTTTAAATTTTCTGCCAACATGTTACATCAGCATTATTGTTGTTGTTATTTTAATTCTACAGATTCTTTTAAGGAAAATTCCAATTAAGCAAAGTTCCTCCTGCCTTACTCTGACCAAATCATTACAGAACTACTCATCAAATTTTTTAGAAAATTAAGGCTTTTATTAATTTTTAAATAATCTTTAAGAAACACTTTTATTTCAAGATGTAGTAAAAACCTCAATTTTGGACTACTCCTAAGTCAAGCATTACTGAATCCAGTCCGGTTCCGTGGTAATACCCACTTTTAGATTATATATCCTGTGACTAACTTTATGCTCTATTTCTGGACCATAGCACTTATTCTGAAAGTTAACTGTTTGATATTGCTCTGTGATCAGCTGTTGCATCTCTGGGAAACATGTATTTAAGAAACATCTGAATTTTTTAATGGAGAAACCAAGGCATGTCTCTAAAAGTTTCTTGGAAACTCAAAATCTGTTCATTCATACCTCCAAATATTCCCAACTTTTAACACTGTTTCACAGTTCAAGTTGGTATTAGCCGGAATAATGAACCTATTACTTAAACTATGTCCCAAGTCTCCTCATAAACTCAAGTTATGATTCTACAATGCAGACACTGAATGCTTTTGTTTGATCTCTCTTCATTGTGGTTCCTCAGGGAGTCCCCCTATTTCAAACATGTCTGGCTTAATGAATTTTGTTCTTACTATGACTACAGTCTGTTTTGGTGTCAGATTCACTCCAGCTTGGAAAGCTTTGTTGTTCTCTTTTCAGGCCTCAGACCCTTTCAGTTTCTGGAGTGTTCACCAAAGATACAAAATAATTAGTCTGAGCAGATGCACAATACCACAATGGTATTAACCAGATTAAACATTAAAAACAACTCCTTTCTCTTTTTGATCATTTAAGCAATGGCAGCACAATAATTTGAAGAATATTTGTATTCTCTTTAAGTCAATTTAAAACAAGTACACACCATCTTGAGAACAGGCCTCCCCAGAACTTTCCAGGTCAAGGGCAGCCAAGGCCTCATCATTTGGTTTTAGTGTTGAGGTCATTGCTTGGTACCAGGTTTCCATGATTTATCAAGAAACTAATCAGCTGGGAAATAGTCTCCCCAGGAAAGTTCTCAATGGTCTTCTCAGAATCTGAAAATCTCAATAACTCTTCAAAAGCAATATCATCTATATCATTTTATCACAAGTAAAGGGTAAGCTGACTTACAGGTAAGATGTTGTCACACACCTTTACTCAGCAACTTTTCTCCATTTTTTTAAAGTAAAGTATTCGAGCACTCTTTTACTTGTTAGAATTCATAAATACACATAGTAGCTTCATTAGAGATTTCAATTTCCCTCCTGAGTTTGAATGTGGAATATTAGAAGAGCTTCTTTGCATGTCAAGAGACAGGAAGCAGAGATCACCCCTGCACTGCTTCCTACATTTACCCGCTAGAAGTAACAATTAGTTAAGTGGAAATGATTATCATATATATTTTCCCTCTTCCATTTGAGTGTGCACAATGTAACAAGAGTGACAGACCTGAAATTACAATCACCAGACACAAGATAGTTGTTGTCTACTTTCACTGGCAAATGCAACACAAAGGATGTTGTCTGAAAATTGGGATATCATCCGAGAGGAAGTGGTGGAGGCTCAATTCCTTTATTATTCCCTTTTAAATTTAGATTTTCTAAAACAACATCTAAAGGCAGAATATCTACACAGAGTATACCACGAAAACCCGCCATTCCCGTCCCCCCTTTCCCATTCATTCTCATCTCAGAAGGGGCTCTCTCCACGCACTAACGTGGACAGAAGGAGCTCTTGGATAAACAGGCTGTGATCTCTTTGCTCACTTTCCATAGACTGGTGCTCTGTTGCCGACAGTTTAGGATCATTCAATCTCGTTAAAAGAATTTGGGGATTCTGGATAGCTTGCTGAGTGCTCTCCATGTAAGCTGCGTTGGTTGTTGCTGCAGCTTGTGTGATCGTAGTGGTGGCGCTGTGTTAGTGCATGGTTTGCATCGACAGCGCTCTCCAGTTGCTGCGGGTTCTAGTTGCAGCTGCACCTGCAGTTGTAACTGCGAAGTGCAAGGGCCCAAAGAATCGAGCTGTCCCCTACAGAATGTCTCACTCCTGGTAACTGAGATAAAAGCTCAGCTATAGGATCCATGGCTTCCCTCTTGTTTGGAGAATACAAACTCTGAGGAGAAGAAAGTCTACCAGTAAAACTGCTAGAAAAAATACACGTTGGATCCATGGCTTCCCTCTTGTTTGGAGAATACAAACTCTGAGGAGAAGAAAGTCTACCAGTAAAACTGCTAGAGAAAATACATGTTGGATCTATGAGAAGCAGGACCTCCTAATCCCTGGCCAGGGTGAAACATTATGTGTACACATCCAACACCACTCGATTCATCCGAATCTCCAGGGACTCAGTGTTCAAGGGTAAGATGAGCTGCAAAGTCACCTGCCGCATGATTCAATACGCTTCTAATTAGTGCTGCACAATCAGGAAAAATCACTTCTGTTGATGTTTCTGCGTACTCAGAAGTAACCTGTTCTTGAAGAGATGTCTCTGTATAGCCCATTTTTCCACACCAGGGACAAGTAAAAGACTGTGGCTGCCCTGCAGGGAAAGCTTCCCCAGCATAGCACAAATCAAAATCTACCCTTATAAATATGCACTGCACTGGTTGATTCTGTACGCACTATTGTTGCACTACTTTCATAACAAGATGTTCAAAGATCGTAATCGTAGCAAATTAAACACATAGCTGCACCATGGAAAATTTTCTTTTAAACATGCATCACAGCTCATACTTTCAAGTTGGGACGCCCTAATTCGGCCAGGGGTGCGGTGGGTTCCAGTGTCCCCTGAAGATCCCGGTACTGCCCGCAGGGACTCCCTTTGTCCCACTCGAATCCCTGCCTCAGATGCAGGGTTGGGGTGAGCAGGGGGGCACTCCCTCGGCAACAGCCTTAATGTCTTCATTTCTTGATTCCTATTTCTAAAATCTACATCCAGCGTTCTGGAAACTAGAGAAGAGTTGTATTGTCACATAACACGCCCTCCTGTAGTGGGGTGTGCACATTAGTGTGGAGAGGCTGGCTCTGCTGGAGTCTGTTGCTTCAAGGGAGCGACGTTCTAGGGGAGGTGTTGGTGGCAGAGGACCTTAGAAATAAAATGGGACCCCAGTGATTCCCCTGAGGCAGGGAGAAGAGGGGACACCTTAGTTGTTATGAGACTCACTTTTTGTTTCTCTGCTTCACGTAATCTGTCAATGCCTAGGGGGTTGACTAAACATGCCCATTGTCCTGGAAAGGCAGGAGAAAAGCTATGTGAGGAGACAACCATGTGGAGACATTAATCTGAAAATGAAATATTATTTTATGAGCAAGATTCAATTTTGTGTTCATCTTTAGATCCGCATTTGTTCAATTGCCTTTAGCATTTGTTCAACTTCCTTGCAAGTATTTAGGACTCAATGGTACCAAAATTCAAAATGTAAGCCTACAAGTTCAGCCATTTTGCCCTCAGGAGAAACCTCCCTATCCAGAAACCCTGGAATATGTCAGCTTCATGTTACTAACAGAGCTTAGTGGGCAGTGCTCTCCCTTTTGATAGGGTCAACGTGGAAGAAATACAGGTAAAGAGCACACGGCATGGATTCAGTTTAACTCCTGCAGCTAAGAAATGGTTGTGAATAGTATTACAGGAAGCCTCAAATTCTGCAGGGAATCTGTCCTCCAGAGAGAAAGCCAAGTTGGGGCAGGGAGGGCAGTCACACCTCAGAGGAGTTTGGCAACGGGCAAAAGGGAAAGGAGGAAGTCCTGGGATGGAGGACACAGCAAGCTGAAAAGCAGATACAAGAAAGGTGACCCAAGTCTGACAGAGTCCAAGACACAAAGGCGTGACACAAAAGGCACAGCTTCATTGCTGAGGCTGGAAATGATCTGGGCCCTCTAGAGAGCAGGCAGAGATAACAGCGCACTTTCCCATCAAGTGCTACAGGATCAAGGGCGGTTTTTCTGATGAAAAAGACTCTTCCACATTCCGAAAGGTTAAGCCTTTTGTGTACAAACATACATTACAGTTGACCCTTGGACAACACAGGTTTGAACTACGCAGGCCCAGTTACACACGGATTTTTTTTTTCAATTAATACATACCATACTCTAAATGTTTTCTCTTCCTTATGATTTTCTTAATAACATTTGCTTTTCTTTAGGTTACTTTATTGTAAGAATACAGCGTGCAATACATATAACATGCAAATTATGTATTAATCAACTGTATATTATCACTAAGGCATCCTGTCA